TTCCTCTACCTATATTTTAGAACATGGTTTCCCCAGGGTTCTTGCCAGGACTAATCTCTTCTTGCTCATTCTCTGGGCCAATAGCCTGCACCCTGGTTCCAGTTTTGCCTTAATGTTTTTTTTTTTTAAAGATTTTTATTTATTTGACAGAGAGAGACACAGTGAGAGAGGGAACACAAGCAGGGGGATTAGGAGAGGGAGAAGCAGGCCTCCCGCTGAGTAGGGAACCCAGGGTCTCAATCCCAGGACCATGAGATCATGACCTGAGCTGAAGGCAGATGCCCAATGACTGAGCCACCCAGGTTCCCCTTGCCCTAATGTTCTTAGTGACCTTGTGAATCACTTGAACTCTCCAGGACTCTGTTCCTGTATCTTTAAAAGAGGGTTTCTGAAACTTGGCAATATTGACATTTTGAGCCAGATAATTCTTTGTTGGGGGAGATTGTTCTGTGCATTGCAGGATGTTTAACAGCATTCCTGGCATCTATCCCCTGGATGCCAGTAGCACCTCTGGATGTGACAACCAGAAGAAATGTCTTCAGACATTGCCAAATGCTCCCTGGTGGGGGGGCGGAATTCCCCCATTGAGAACTATTGCTCAAAAATGAAGAGTTGAACCAGGCTGTCTAAATTTGTTTGCTATGGCTCCCATAGCAAAGTGACACAAATCAGGGGGCTTAAATGACAGAAATTTATTGTTTCACAGTTTTGGCAGCTGGAATTCCAAGATCAAGGTGTGAGCAGAGCTGGTTCTTGAGGGCTCTGAGAGATTCTCACGCATGTTTTTATTCTACTTTCTGGTGGTTTGCTGGCTATCTTTGATACTCCTTGGCTGATCTCTGACTACATGTTCATGTGTGCCTGCCTCTGTCCAAATTTCCCCATTTATCAAAACACAAGTCATGGGGCGCCTGGGTGGCTCAGTGGGTTAAGCCTCTGCCTTCAGCTCAGGTCATGATCCTAGGGTCCTGGGATAGGCTGTCTGCTCAGCAGGGAGCCTGCTTCCCCCCCCACCTCCCCCTACCCAGCCTGACTCTCTGTCTACTTGTGATCTCTGTCTGTCAAATAAATAAATAAAATCTTTAAAACACACACACACACACACACACACACACAAGTCATATTGGATTAGGGGGCACACCCTATTTCCATGTGACCTCAACTTAACCAATTATATTTGCAATGACCCTATTTACAAATAAAGTCACAATCTGAAATACTGGGGGTTAGGACTTTAAATTAATTTTGGAGGCACACAATTCAGCCCATAACATCATCTTTTATGCTCCTTGTGAGCTCTAATGTTCTATAATCTAATGAAAAGAAAGGAAATATTGGTCTTTGCAGACCCCAGTGTAGATTCAGATTCTTTCTGCTGAGTTTCTTCTTGCACCAGCCACATCTTTGGACACTTCTGTATGGGCAAACCATTCCTTCTCACTTCAGATAAATTTCAAAGGAAGTGATGAGGAAATGGGAATTTCAACTGCAGCTAGTCTACACAGACTCTGGTAGGTAAGACTGACATGGACGTCAAAGAATGTGATGGGCTACCATTATGAAGCTCATCTCCCATCCTATGTTACTGTAAATACACATCACTGAACTAATAATATGAATTAGTCTGCATATATGTTATAGCAATTATGTTTTTTGGAATTATTCAATGACCTCCCTCTACCCCTCTAACTTGCATCCTCTCTCTCATCACAAAAAGGATACAGCTACAGATCTGCCCAATCTGTCCAAAGAGACACGGTTTCTAGAGTAGAATGATGAGCAACTTGGTTGAAGCATCAACATTTGGGGGCTGGTTATGCTTATGTACTAATCACTCCCCTCTGTTTAGTCTGATAGGGGCATTTCAGAAACACATAAACAGTATACATCAACAAGATAACTTCACATATAGAGAAGTCCTTTGAGGAAGACAAACTAGGGTAATGTGGTAGAACATAACTGGGGGAGTGGGGCTGGAAAGGATGTCTCAGTGAAGGTGACATCCAGTTTAGGCCTGAACAGTAAGAAGGATGGAACCATGTGAGGATCTGAGAAAAGAGCAATCAAAGCAGGAGGAAGAGCAGGTGTCAAGACCCTTGGGCTGGTAGAGGCACATCTGAGAGTGGTGCATATCTAAAGACAGACAATAAGTGGGTGAGCATAAGGACGGAGCATCAGGGGCCAAAGTATGTATAACCCTCTAGAATTTTCTATTTATATTTTGATTGCAATGGGAAGCTATGGGAGGTTCTAAAATGATGGGTAGGGGGAAACTCTGTGATTTAAGCTCTAAGAAGATTCTTTGGTTACTGTGTGGAGGATGGACTACAAGGAATGGAGGGAGAGGGGAGCTGGAAGTGTAGTTGAGAGACGGTTGCAGTTGTCCACATGAGAGATGGAAGTGGGTAGAACTAGGGTTGTAGAAATGAGTGTGGTGAGAAGCAGCCAGGAGGGCAATGTAATTTGGAGATAGAGCTAATAGGACAAATTGATGATTTGTTTTGTGGTTTCCCTTGTGTTGACTAAGGTGGAGAGTACTCTGGGGAGAGGTCATGGAACAATTCTGCCTGGGCCACATGATGTCTGAGGCACCTTTTGGACATCTGTATCTCTCAGAGTTTAACCAGAGAAGTAGAGGCACTAGAATATGTATCTTCTAGAGTAGGCATCCTGCAGAAGCTGGGGCCCTTTGTCACAGAGCTAAACAGACATCTGACTCAGGATCCAGAGAAGCCAAAAGAAGGTCCAGAGGAAGGTAGAACAGTTGCAGGCCTCACTGCTGTTTCATGCCAAAAACTGAGCCAGTAGGTCAGCAATAATCCCTGGGAACTACAATGGGGTTATTGCTTTCCTTCCACCCTCCAAAATCTTTCAAGAATCTCTCCTGTACCCCAGCCTATCTGGAAATATAACAGAAAGGGGAGCCTGGGAAATGTAGCTCAGTCTAGTCAATAGGACTCATTGCAAAGCCGCCACCATAGCCACATGGAGTGGTTGAGTGAGTGTTTGGAAATATGAGTCTGGAACTCAGGGAAGAGGTCCAGGCAGGAAGGAGACATTTGGCAGTCATCATGAAGCCAGGGTTCATGAAGCCATGGAGCTGGAGAAGGTTGTCTAGGGAGAGAAGGAGGACAGAGAATTAGAAGAACAAAAGACAGAGCACTGAGGCACTTTAACATTTAGAGGTTTATTAGAAAAGGAGGAAACATCAAAGGAGAATGAAAAGAAGCCAGTGAGGTGTGAGGAAAAGTAGGCAAGTAAGGTAGCACGGAGGTCAGGGGAAGATAGGAGGGTGTGGTCGCACACATCACACACTTGGAAAACGGAAGTCGGATGAAGATGGTATCAGTACGACTCTGCGAAGATAACACTCAAGGGTTACTTAAGATATCATCTGCTATAGTGTGTATGTTTGTGTCCCTCCACCCCAAACATATATGGTGAAATCCTAACCCCCAAAGATGATGGTATTAGGACCTTTAGGAGGTGCTTAAGTCATGAGGTGGAGCCCTCATGAGTGGAACTGATGCCTTATAAGCAAGTCTCCAGAAAGATCCTTAGCCCCCTTCCATGTGAGGGCACAGCAAGGAGGCACAAGCCATGAGCAAGAAAGAGGACCTTCAGCAGCATGGGACCATGCTGGCACCTTGATTTTGGACTCCTCAGTCCCCAGAACTGGTAGGAGTAGATTTCTGTTGTTTATTAGCTATCTGGTCTGTGGTATTTTGTTTTAGCAGCCCAATGGACCAAGACATGATCCAAAGATAAGTACAGTATTGAATAAAGGGATCATAGGGGGTCAGCAGTGGGAAGGATCAATCTGCATGGACCTCTGAATTACTGAGGAACACCTCAGAAACTAGTGCATGTTTAGGAAGGGCTCAGAAGGTCAGGGGGAATTGGAGCATCTGTGACGAATAGGATCTGCAGGGGCTTGTTCATCTCCAAACATTTTCAAGAGCCACTTAAAAGTCACAAATCCCTAACCATTTCCCAACAACCCACACAGAGACCTCTCAGCCTCCTATGCACATCTAAGAATAGCCTACTTGGCTGCAGTTGGCCTGAAATTCTTGCTTTTTGCGTCAAAACACTTGGCCACTATTTTCAGGCTGACGCTCCCGTCTACAAATGAGAAGAGGTGCCATTGCTCATTGGAAGTGTTCTCACTTATTTGTTGTTGGCAAAGGAATGTGTCAGAACCTGGACAGTAAGTCAAAGAGTTTGCTGAAAGGAATCACTTTGGTTCTCTGCCTGTGGGAGAATCTTGATTTCAGTAGCTCCAGAACAGGCAGAAGCAGGATTAAAAGGTAAAAAAAAAAAAACAACAACAGAAAAAACCTCTTAGTTTATTTAGCTTCCAAGTATCCAGAAATCTCCAACAGGGCCTTTCAAACGAAAGGAATCCTCAATTATGAATGTGGAAACACCACTAATTTTTTGGGAAGCCCACTTCTGCACAATGGAAGACCGTACGAGAAAGACAGAGGCAGACTCAGCCTCCTTTATTATAAATAAATCACTTGGATGTGTTTGGGTGAATAAATTTAGCACATTTTAAAATTCTATTTAGAAATATTGGTTTTTGACGGATTTATAATAAGTAGCCAGAATGGCTGTTTCAAGATTGGTGGATTGTTTGGTTCTGCTTCAGACTGTACGTTCTTATCTGTCTTATCGGTCTAGAATTGCTAAGTGGGGGTGGGAATCCTTGTGATCAGTGCTACTCAAATCAAGGTTGCTTGTGACTTTAGGGCCCCTGGCACTTTTGCCTTTGGGGACACCTTCCTCTATTAAAAAAAAAAAATCTATCTTATAACTACATTGGTATAAAGATGACTGTGATAAGATTTTAAAATATTTTCTTTTTTTTCTTCTTCTGAAAATCATTTTTTTCTTCTTCTGAAAAGAACACATTTTTTGCGGGCCCCATGTTAGTTTCTTCTTGCTGCTGTAACAAATTACAAATTAAGCAGCTTAAACAACACAAGTTTATTTACCTTACAATTCTGGTTGTCAGAAGTCCAAAATCCATCTCACTGGGCTGAAGTCAAGGTGCTGGCAGTTCTGGTCGTTCCTGGAGACAATCAGGGAGAAGCCGTGCCAGCTTTTCCCGGCTTCTCCGAGCTGTCCACATTCCTTTGCTTGTGGTCTCTTCTTCCATCTTCAAAGCCAGCAGATTAACATCTTGAAACCTCTCTCCAACCCTGAACTCTGTTTCCATCAGCACATCTTCTCCAACTCTTCCCCTCTGGCTTCCCGCTTCTAATGGGCTTCACAATTATTTGGGGCCCACCCAGATAACCCGGGATAATTTCCCTGTCTCAAAATCCTTAATGTCATCACACCCACAAAGTTTCTTTTGCTGTGTAAAACCTACAGGTTCTGGAAATTAGGATGTGGACATCTGCGGCAGGGGGCATTTTTAGGTTACCCCTGCCCCTAACATTATTGTGGGACCGAGGCAGGATGCCTGTTGTGACTAAGGGATAGATTGGGTTTGACCCAAAGTGTAGATCCAGGAATTCTTTGCAGCTGAATGTAAAATGCACTGCTTCCTTCACTGAGAAAGTCTTGCTATGAAAAAACCACTTAGTGACACAGTCTATTTACAGTCTGGTGCGAGCTCCTCTTCTCCTAGCAGGCCAGGAACCAGCGATTAGGGGCTGACAGACTGACGTGGGTGGATGAGGTCTGTGTTAAATAGCTACAGGAATCTTCCCATTATATTACTCGCTCTCTTTCTCTGTGGTGCGTTGGGCTCTCCTCAGGTGCACCTGTGAGCACACTCTGTTTCCTCGCTGGCAGCCTGCATTGGTGATAATGCAGGCCTGATCTCTGGTTGGTGCTGGGCCCTGGCTGGGGGTTCCACTGAGGCTTGTCGAAATGGGTGAGTGAATAGATTCAAATGAATGGAAGTCGAGTATCCAGTGACTCTGGGCCCGCCAAGGAAGTGGTCTGTTTCCAAGTTGGTCTGCAATGATCTTGAAAGAGAGGAAAGTTCCATGCAAACGTCTTAGAGGCCATGTGTTGGGGAAGAGGGCGAGCTTCTTGGTCACCTGGATCGAGGCTTCCAAGTGGTGGCGCCAGTGTGAGCCCCCCCCCGCACCCCCCCCCCGCCCCCCGGTGTCACGGCCTTCCAGGCTGCGTCTCCAACCATGGAGAGGGCTCTCTGGCTCCCCCAGGCCAGTGGTGGCGGCCTGCAATGCGGTGGGGGGCCGGGAGGAGAGGGCGCGGTGGCAGCGGCGGTGACCGCGGAGGCCTAACAACACGTAATTTTCTTCTCACTTCACGCGTCCTTCTCCATCCGACGTGGCAGGTGCGCTGAGAAGGAACGGTGTGTGAATCGATTCGGAGAGGGTCAGGGACACGGCAGCGAGCCCTGGCCGCGCCCCGAGCCATCGATCGCCTCCAAATCAATTTGCACACCGCTCCCACTTAGGTCACCTGCCATTTCAGACAGGGACGCAACCGTGAAGTGAGAAGGAAATTATGCCGGGGAGTCCGGGGACCCTCTCTCAAGAACGTGGGGGTCAGCCTTCAGCTGCTCTGGTATCTGCAGCCTTCAGAGGGGACAGAGCTCCCCAGCCCAGGCACCTCGCTGTCGCTCAACCCCGCCCTGAAGGGAAGGGAAGCTGGAAGGCTGCAGCAAAATGGGGCCACTCAGAAAATCTATCAGCCTTGAGCTCACCTCTGGGGTTTGGGCTGCCACAGTCATAATCCTAAGAGCTATTTCAGAAAACCCAAATTGCCAACAGTAATAATCTCTCCGCCGCGGGACTGGTTTTCATTTGTGCCTCTCAATGCACTTTACAATTAATTCTCACCAACCTCTGCCTCCCACGAGCCAGGAGCCCAAGGGGAGCCCAAGGCAAGGCTTGGAAGCTTCATGGCTCCCCCACTGAGAGGGCAAAGGGCTTTCCCACTGGGAGGACAGGCACCAAGGCCCAAGTCTTCCTCAAGGAGCCAATGACAGCAATCTTTTTTGAGGGGAGAGAAGACAAGGTTGGAGAAGGATCTGGAAGACGTCTCTGGCTCCTGGTATGTCCAATCAGTCTTCCATCAGTTGAGGGAAGAGGCATCTTAACTACTTACAAGGCGGAATACCTGATCAGTAAGCAATTTCCAAGGATGCTGTCCAACCACACCCTGACTGTGCTGTGGCAATGATGTCTTCTCCAGAGCTATGGAGAGATAGGGGTCCACTACCACCCTGTTAGGTCACAGGAATCCCAATAAACAAAATGGAAGATGATTCCCTGCCTGCAAGTGCTCAGCACAGTGCAGGACACTGAGCGGGTACTCAGGAAATGGACACTGAATCTGAATCTGCTTCATGTTGACTTGGTCCCCTGCCCCACGTAGATGGTTTAGATTATCAATATATTCCAGTTGGCTAAGCAGATTTTCTAGGCAGTGGGCTCCTTACTGTTACTAATTCCTTTTGTCTACCCCACGGAAAGCAGGACCAAGGCAGGTCCACAAGAGGTCTTATGGCAGAAGCAGAGAAAGTGCAAGGATGCACCCACCTTGAGTTCTCAGAAGAAAACAGGAAATCCAACTCACCTAATTTGTGCCTCATGCAGTGCTCAAGTACACTTGGAGTGCTTTCCTTCGCTGTGAAGGAAATGCTGATCAGGTTCATGCTGCCCTGCCAAGCCCCTCCTGCTTGTGCTTTGGATTTGTCAGAGCTCCAGGAGAAGGATGGGGGTTAGGATTTGCATTTTTGGAAACTTGCATCTGGGGGACAGAAATAAAGCAATAGACTGTGACTCAAGAAGGTCTCACTCACCTGCTCCCCAAATCAGTCCTTTTGCTCCCAACAGGTTGGTTTGGTGAAGCAGGGCTCCTGAGTGCTCACTGCCCAGACCCAGCCACACTGGCAAGCTCACACACCACACACACAGACCCCTCTGCTCAGCCCAAGGTCATGCTTTGGCAGCCTGACTGGATTCTCTCCTGGGCGAGGCCTTCTTTCCTCAATCCCTGCTCTCAGGACTCTAGCTGTTTCCACTTTGCGTGGAGATCAAGTCTTCTTTACAAATCAGGAGAGACTCTTTCAAACCCGAAGGCCAGTCCTGCTGTCCAGCATACTCCCTCCAGCCCAACTGCTGGGAAGCTGATCTTCCTGTCGTATCATTTCTTTGACCTCATGGAGCCCTTCCAGGGTAAATAAAGAACAAGTTTAGAGTTTGGTTCAGTGAAATTAGACTGGCCCCTGGGATCACCAAGAAGTTGATGGTATAGTCCCCGCCTGGAAGAGCTCTACTCGTCTGTGGCATATACCTTGACTCCTTGGCTAGATTTAATGCTCTTGGGGGCCGGTCTTGTCTGCATCTATGTCACAAGGCCCAATTCAACAAATATGTGACAGAATCAAGGCTGTGGGGATTGGAAGCTTAACCATAACCAATTCTAACTTGCTAAATGACCTCATAGGTTTAATTTGTTGGAATCCATGCTGGAAGATGGAGTTGGAAGTTTAGGAGGGAAGACTGAGTTGGAAAGAGATAGAGCATCACTCTATTTCTGCCTTCGAAAGTAAGCCAGGGGGTCAATGCTCCTTTTCTGCGTATCTTCCCCAGTGAGCAATTTCTGAGGCAAAAGCCACGTGAGAGGCGTTTGATCCACCAAGTGAAGACAACGGATACATTTTGCATCCTCACCAAGTAAGACAGCAAGACCTGCTGAACAGGGTGCTTCAACCCAGGAAAACCTCCTCTTGACCAAGGGCCGTGGGACATGTGGGCTAACTCCCTTCCTGTGACTTGTGCGGTTGTGTGTGTAGACTCTGGGCCCCCAGAGCGCAGGAAGCTGGTGTGTTTAACTATTTACCTCATCTCTGGCTCCAGCCACCTCTGCACGTGGTGCATACCACAGACACATTGTATTAAACGTATCTTTATGTTACCAGACGCTTTCGTTTTGAACAGGAAAGATGTGCTTTTGGCACCAGAGTCGGAAGAACCAGGAGCCACCCTTTTACATTGGTTCCCAGACCCGCGGCCGTCTTAGCTCACCGGGCAAGTACTCGACCCAGTTTCTTCTGCGACGCCTCAGAGCTGTTCCACACAGACGCAAGCAACCATACTAACAAGGGTTCTTGATCTGACTGGATTCTTTTTACTCATTCTACGGAGACAAGTATGTCCACCTTCTACTTTTTCTGTTGGCCTTACCTCAGACGCCTTTATGAGAAGTGCGATGCGTTTCCCCGACGCACAGCGTAGCTCGTAGAACGCACCCGAGCCACCGAAGCGGTCGCCGTCGCGATGACACCGCCGGCCCCGCGAGGGTTCTGGCCAAGCTTGGGGGTTCTGGCCGCGGGAAGGTCGCGCCGCGCCTCCGGGGCTGCAGTGCCCGGATCCGGCCGCACGATGGCGCGCGCTTCCTGCGGACCCGGCCCTCCGCGGTGGCGCAGACAAAGGCGGGCGCCGGGCCTCCCCCGCCGGGCCGCGGAGGCGGCGGGCGCTGCGAGTGGCCAAGGCCGCCCCTGCGCGCCGATCCGGGCAGCTGCTGCCTGCGCCTTTGTCCTGCGCTGCCCGCCCTTGTACTAAAGGACAGGCGAGAGGACACCGGGCGCAGGCGGCGCGGGCAGGCATCCACCCGAGTCCCGACCCGGCTCCCACGCTCGGAGCTCGGCCGGGCTGGAGCTGGGGGTAAGGGCGAGAAGCTGGCAGCGCGGGAGTGGGACCCAAACGCCTGCCCGGGAAGCTTCCCTCCTCGTCCTCCCCTTAGCAAAGAATTTGCCCCAGAATTCCGCTCTATGGAGGCTTTTCACCATGGCCCTGACTCCCCTCTTGAAATGCGGTAGGAACTGGGTGTCACAAAGGCAGAGAAGGAGAGAGCATTTAGATTTAAGTGCAAACTTAGTGAGCGCCTGGGTCTGGCTCCCAGGCTCTCATCTGCAGGGTTCAGGAAAACTTCTCTGCTCTCTTGGCCTTTAGTCCCACTATCCCATAAACTTTCTGCGATGATGGAAATGTACTGTATCCTCATGGTCCAGGTAGTCATGAGCCACATGTAACTATTGAGTGCTTGAAGTGTGGCTGAAGAACTGAATTTTTAATTGTATTTAATTTTAATGAACTTAGAGGAGCTGCATGTGCTTCCATGCATGTGGGTACATGGCCGTGCGCTTTGGACCCTTAAGGGCTCAAGTTCGTCTGGGTGGTTGAAGATGTAGTTATGCTGTTAACAGCAAAATTTTAGATTCACATAAAGGATGGAGCGCGTGCCTGTTGCACCCAAGAAGATGCCTGGAAGTAGCTGGCCTGGGAGAAAGAAAAAATGGTGTTAGCTGAGTTTATCTTTGTTGTTTGGGGAGATGAGTAGGGGGGTGAGCTCTGTGCTGGGTAAGGTGGATTGGAAAAAAGGTAAAGAGGAAATGGGTCTTTAAAAGATCCTGCTGCTATTGCCAAGTGGGACTGGCCCAACTTGATCTGTATTTAGAGAAAATTGGGGCCCATAATCACTG